CGGGCGGGAGAGGGCGCAGGCTGCGGCTGCTCCGGCTGCTGCCTCTGCTGGTCTGGGAGGGGGACGGGGCGGAGCGGCCTGCTTTCAACCCCGCGCACCCTTCGACCCCGGAAGCGCTAACCGCCCCGGGGGCCGGCGAGGCGATTGCGTCGTCCAAACCTTCCCCACGCAATGCAGACGGCCTCCCAAAAGCCTAGAGTGGCTCCTTGGACAGCGTAAGCACCAGCGAGACAACGGCTGCTAGCAAGCGGCGAACTGCGATAGAGAGGAAGCGTGGGGGCGGGAAGGAAACCAGTGGCCCCTAGTGGACTGACTGGAAAGTTCAGGCGTTAGTGCGGAGACGGAGCAGTCGCCATGGATCAAGAAGTGGAGAGTAGAGAAAAGGATGGGTGGAAAGAGAATAAGAAAGGATGAAGAAATCCTAGTGATCTACAGGGATACTCAAAAAAGAAAAGGAAAGAAAACTAACTTTCCACGTTTGAGGTGACCATTGTATCAACGCCTTACTCTTAAAAGGAAAGAATTAAGCATTTAACTTTCCTTTTAGGAAGAACTGTGTGTAGTTTATCTGTAACTGATAAGGGAAAGCTCTTTTTTAAAGAGTTCCATGAATAAATGTAGAAGGAATGAAAGAAATAGAAGGAATGGGAGTTGAAAAGTCACCATTCTGCAACCCAGAATGAAATAATTGATTCAGGCAAGTGTATCAATCATTAAAATTTTGAGAAAGGTTGTTAGGGAACAGGATATTATCATGACACCAAGTATCACCACACAAATTTGCAAATATTTTTCTTTTTTTTTTTTTAAGTAACTTCAAATGGGCCAGGGGTAGTGGTTGGGAGGCTGAGGCAGGCAGATCGCTTGAGCTCAGGAGTTTAAGATACCATCTCTACTAAAAATACAAAACTTCGCTGCTGTGGTGGCACACACCTGTGGTCCTAGCTATCTGGGAGGCTGAGGTGGAAGGATTACTTAAGCCCTGATGTTCTCGGCTACAGTGAGCCATGATGATGGCCACTGCACTGCAGCCTGTCTCAAAAATAACATTTTTTTTTTTTTTTTTTTGAGACGGAGTTTCGCTCTTGTTGCCCAGGCTGGAGTCCAATGGCATAATCTTGACTCACTGCAACCTCTACCTCCTGGGTTCAAGCGATTCTCCTGCCTCAGCCTACCGAGTAGCAAAAATAACAAGTTTTTTAAAAGCAACTTCAAATGGAGAGATCTAGCAGTTACCACCTTACCCAAGTACATAAACGATCAAACTGCATCACTCATAGTAGGACAACTTTGACACCGTGTGGTCCTTGGAAAAATGCAACAAGAAGTACACCACATCATCTATTAAATATTCTTGCCAAAAGTGCTTAATCTTAATCTAATCAAGCCATTAGATCTGATTTGCAATTTATAGGAAATTTGATACAACGCAAGGAGATATTTTGCAAATCCAGAACATTCCACAAGACAGCTAGCCAGTCTTGTCAAAAAAGCAATAGAATACAAAAAAAGAAAAAAATTGGCCGGGTGCGGTGACTCACACCTGTAATCCTAGCAATTTGGGAGGCCGAGGCACATGGATCACTTGAGGTCAGGAGTTCAAGACCAGCCCGACCAACATCTCTACTAAAAACGCAAAATTGGCCAGGTGTGGTGGCGCGTGCCTGTAATCCCAGTTACTCTGGAGGCTGAGGCAGAAAAATCACTTGAACCCAGGAGGCGGAGTTTATGGTAAGCAAAGATGGTGCCATTGCACTCCAGCCTGGACAACAAGAGCGAAACTCAGTCTCAAAAAAAAAAAGATTTAGTTGAACATGGTAGTATGCATCTGTATAGTCCCAGCTACTCAAGAGGCTAAGGTGAGAGGATCACTTGAGTCCAGGAATTCAAGGCTGCAGTGTGTTAAGATGGCACCACTGTACTCTAGTCTGGGTGACAGAGCAAGACCCATCTCTTAATTAGTAAATAAATGAAACAAAAGCAGGAATTTAAAAATGCTTAAGGCAATAACAACCAAATATAATATGTAGCTCTTGCTTGGATCCCGGGTTTTTTTCTTTTTTTTTTTTTTTTT